ATTCTGGTCACCACCCTGTAGGGGCCCTCCCAAGATGTTTGTAGCTTGGGAGACTTCCCTTTTGTCCGGGTAGGATGATACAACCACACGCGATCTCCCTCCTGGAAGCCAGCCGAGTTTGCCAGGCGATCATAGCGTGCCTTCATCCGGTCACTGGCCATCTTCAGATGCTGGCGGTTATGCGCGTCATAGAGTCGTTCCTGCTTCTCTTTTCTTAGTGTCACCCGGTCCCAGCCATCCGCGACTGTAGCGGCGACGGCTCGCACCTTTACTCGACCCGCTCGTTGCTCGACCTTCTGGCTGTGGCCACAGTCCTCCGAGCATGGCCTTCTAGAGAGAGCGTCGGCGTTGGTATGCCTCCGTCCCTGGGATAACACGCCTCCGATCCCAACGCTGCTTGCGTCGGTGTCTACCAGGAACTTCTCGCCAGGTCGTGGATATCCTAAAATGGGCGATGCACACAGCGACTCTTTCAAGTGGCCTGCTGAACATCGGTCGCCCTCGGTTGCCCTTGGGCGACCTCTGGCAGCCCTCGTTCATCACGAGACCCACTGGACACAACCAAAAAACTAACTGAGGGCGGAGGCCTGCGCAAGCGCAAGCATCGTCCCTACCTCTCTCCAGGCTGTGCCGGTGGGGGTCTCGTCCACTCCCAATCACTCCTACCACTCACTCACTACCAACTCGCTCAACAATCAACTCTATTCCCTACTCCACCAGGACCAACTGGGCTTGTCAGTCGGCTTTTATACAAATGCAACAATGCTAAACGCAACAATGTCAATAATAATACAACAATGCATGAATACAACAATGTCATTAAACAGTTCAACAATGCCAACCCCAACACATCACACTACCCCCTCCTCAAAGCTGCTCGTCCCGAGCAGTACCCGAATACGGCGCCAACCTGTCCAGGTGGACTACCATCATCCGGGCCTGGGTATGCCGCTGAATCCGATAAACCACGTCGTTGATTCTGGTCACCACGCTGTAGGGGCCCTCCCAAGATGTTTGTAGCTTGGGAGACTTCCCTTTTGTCCGGGTGGGATGATACAACCTCACGCGATCTCCCTCCTGGAAGCCAGCCAGGATCGGTCCTCGCCCATTAGAAGGTGTTGCTTAATCTCTCGGTCTCCCAGGCCGTCGATGAAAGCGTGAGCGGTCTCCCTCTGCAGGAAATCTGCGGGAAGCCCTACGAACGCTCGATGGGCCAGCTTCTCT